CTGGAGTTGAAGATTGGCCTGGGGTCCTTTTCCTCAGGGGAGTTTCTGAGTGAACATTGGTTCTGGTGGGTTTCCATGGGTGCAGGTTCATACAGGGTGTCATTGGCATTTTCCAGACAGCCCCCCCCCCCCAATTTTTTTCATTTTGTTGTTGCTGTTTTGACTTCTACAATTTGGTGACAAAGATTACATTGTTCAAGCTGAGCAATCATTGTCATGCTCTTTTAATGCGTATTTCTTCCTTCCGAGACTCAGTGACTTGAGTTGTTGTTAGGTGCCATCGAGTCCGTGCCAACACATAGCAACCTTATGCACAGCAGAACGAAACATTGCCCGATCCTGAGCCAACCTCACTACTGTTGCCACGCTTGAGTCCATCGATGCTGCCACTTGGCCAACCCATCTCACTGCGGGTCTTCCTCTTTTTCTCTGACCCTCCACCTTACCAAACATGAGATCCGTCTCCAGCGATTGCTCCCTCCTGACAATATATATGAAGTATGAGAGATGAAGTTTGGCCATCTTGGCCTCCCAGGCTACATTTCTTCCAGAACGGATCTGTTGGTTCTTTTGGCAGCCTATGGCACTTTCAGTATTCTCCTCCAACGAACGCCATAACGCAAAAGCATCAATTCTTCTATGGTCTTCCTTATTCACTGTCCAGCTTTTGCACGCATATGAGGTTATTGAAAATATCATGGCTTGGGTCAGGTGCACCTTAGTCCTCAAGCTGATATCTTTGCTCTTCAACACTTTAAAAAGTTCGTGTGCAGCAGATTAGCCTAATGCAATACGTCGTTTGATTTCTTGACTGCTGCTTCCATGAGTGTTGGTGGTTGGTTGATCCAAGAAGAATGAAGTCCTTGACAACTTCAGTCTTTTCTCCATTGATAAGAATGCTGTTGATCCCATATAGATCTTAAAAAAATAATTGAAAGCAAGCCATTCTTACTAAACTCAGCTGTTTGGTTTTAAAGATGTCTTCAAGTGCGATTTTTGGTTTAAGGTTTAAAGATTATCTCAGGGCAATAATTTCAGGGGTTCATCCAGCCTCTGTGGCTCCAGAAAGTCTAGAGTCCATGAGGACTTGAAGTTCTGTTCTGTACCCTCTTCTGTCCCCAACTTTAATCAGGATTCTTGTATGGAATCTTTGATCAAATGTTTAGTAATAGTAGCCAGGTGCCATCTAATTCTTCTGGTATCAAGGCAAACAAGGTTGTTCATGGAGACAATTAGCCACATATTCTGTGTTATTGTTGTTAAGTGCTGTTGAGTTGGTTCTGACCCATAGTGGCCCAGAATAGGATTTCTGAGGAGTGGCTGGCGAGCTCGAACTGCCGACCTTGCGGTTCAGACTGATTTTGTAGTCCAGCACATTTACCCACAGCAGTATTATTCCTGACTCTCCTCCTCCTGTTGCTTCAGGTGACTGCTTGCACTAACTATACAGTGACGTAGAAAGTAGAACAGAAATAATAAATGGTATGATGAGGTTGATGAACTGCGCTATCCCATGAAAGCAGGTATATTGTTCTTCCAAACCAAGGAGCAAGATCCTGGCTGGGATTTGGTTGGACTAAAGCAGTCTCAGCAGTAACTCTGGACTTTTCCTTTATGCCGTTGTTGTAAATACATTTATCACGCAACACTGGCCACTTCTACTTTTTGTGTAGTTCTGTGGGTTAATGCACCAAACAACTGCGAGGTCAGCAGTTCAGGCTCACCAGTCACTCCTTGGAAACCCTATACAAGGTCACTGTGGGTTAAAACCAACTCGAAGGCACTTAACAACAACAACCAGTTATTGACAGCAGGTAATAATGCCCAGCTGCGCACCTCCACCTTTCATCAAGGTGATTTATGTCTCCATTCAGCAGGACGACTTCTTACCCTCCCTACCATCCTTGGTTGTTGTTAAGTGCTGTCGAGCCGGTTCCGACCCATGGTGACCCTGTATAGAGTCTCCGAGGAGCAGCTGGTGAACTTGAACCGCTGACCTTGCAATTCAAACTGACATTGCAGTTCAGCACATTAACCCACAGCACCACACCAGGAGTCCACCCTTGGTTGTTGTTGTTAGGTGCCATCGAGTTGGTACCGACCCATAGCAACCTTAATGCACAGCAGAACAAAACACTTGCCCGATCCTGGGCCAACCTCACTATTGTTGCCACGCTTCAGTCCATTGATGCTGCCACTTGGCCAATCCATCTCATTGGGGAAGTGACGAACTACTTCCGAATATTTAGTCACTGAAAGCCACCCTTTGTAGCCACTGATAAATTTTGGTCTCTATATACAATTTGCCTGTTTTTGTCATTTTATACAAGCAATATCATAAAATATTTGTCCTTTTGTGATGGGTTTATTTTGTGCAGTGTGATGTCATCAAGCTTCATCCATACTGTAGCACGTATCAAGCCTTCATTTCTTTGGCTAGATGGTACTCCATTGCCTATCTGTTCATCCGTATATCTATTGATGGATATTTATCCATTTATCTCTCCATGGATATTTAGGTTGTTGTTTTGACTATTATGATTAGTTCTTCAAGGAACATTGGCGTGCAGCTCTCTCTTTGCGTCTTTTATGTGTATATATACCTAGAAGTGGAATTACTGGGTCATAAACACAGGTCTGGTAACTGCAAAGTCAGCTGTTTGTACCCACCAACTGCTCTTAGGGAGTCCTGGTGTGGTACTGTGGGTTAATGTGCCAGAGTGCAAAGCAGTTTGAACTGCAAGATCGGTGGTTCAAGCTCACCAGCTGCTCCTCGGAAACCCTATATACAGGGTCGCTATGGGTCGGAACTGACTTGATGGCATTTAACCACAACAACAAGCTGCTCTTAGAAACCCTACACAGGATTGCTGTTGAGTCGGAACGGACTTGCTGGCACACAACAGCAGTGATAGTTCTGTTAGGTTGTTTGAGGATCTCCACACTGTTTTCTGCAGCAGCTGTACCATTTTCATTCCCATGAACAATGGATAAGGCTTCCAGTTTTCGCACATCCGTGCCAGTATTGTTTTCTTTTCTTGTTTTGAATCTTTGCCATCTTCCTTGTTGTTAGTGCCAGCAGGTCGTCGGTTCTGAGGAGCAGCTGGTAGGTGGTGGTTTGAGTTGCCAACCTCGTGGTTCACAGTCCAGTGCTGAGCCTATAGCGCCACACCAGTTGTATAAAATATATTTTAATATCAGGAATTGTGAGTCCTCCTACTTTATTTGGGCATTTTTTTTGAGGTATTCGGGGCCTGTTGTCTTAAAGTTGAGGATTGGTTTTTCCATTTCTTTAAAGAAGGCTGTTAAGTCTTCTAGTTCAAGCAAAGGAGTCCTGGTGTGGTGCTGTGGGCTAAAGGATCAGACTGCAAAGCTGTTTGAACTGCAAGGTTGGTGGTTCAAGCTCACCAGCTGTTCCTTGGAAACCGTATACAGGGTTGCTATGGCTTGGAATCGATGGCATTTAACAAGGACAACAACAACAAAGTTCATGTAAATGGAAGATGTTGGTTAATTTCATTTAAGTCTTGGTTAATTTCATTCAGCAGTGTTTTATAGTTTTCCTTGTACAAGTCCTTCACATCCCTTGCTAGATTTATTCTTAGATAATTTCTTCTCTTAGATTTATCTCTAGAAGTTTTCTTGTAGATTCTTTGGGGTTTTCTTGTTCTAGATCATACCAGTGAATAGAGATAATTTTACTGTGTCTTTTCCAATCTGGACACCTTTTATTTATTTTTTCTGTCTTACTGCTCTGGCTAAGACTTATAATTCCATATCGAATGGAAGTGCCTCACCTTTATACTTAAAAAAGTATAAACTGTAATGTTGAATATTGGTTTTTCATATATGCCCTGAATCATACTGAGGAATTTCCTTTCGAATCCAGTCTTCTTTAGGGTGTTGGATTTCTATCAAATGCTTTTTCTGTGTCTGTAGAAATAATCTTATAGTTATTTTCCTTTATTGTATGACTCTGCTGTATTTATTTTTCTAATGGCACAGTGTTACTGCGTTTCTGGAATCCCACGTGTGGTTGTGGTGTATGATTCTTAGATTGTGCTATATATAGGCTTCTGTTGGTTAATGTTTTTTGTTGAGGATTTTTGCATCTATATTCATTAGAGATGTTGGCCTGTAGTCTTGTTTTTGTGTTCCAAGAGCAAAGGTGTCAGTTTGAGGACTAAGGTGCGCCTGACTCAAGCCATGGCATTTCCAGTCACTTCATATGCTTTTGAAAGTTGGACCAAAAAAAAAAAAAAAAAAAATCTGTACTGGAAGAATACTCCTTAGCAGTCAGGATTTTGAGACTTTGTCTTTCAAACTTTGGACACATGATCAGGAAGGACCAGTCCCTGGAGAAGGACATCCTGCTTGGTAAAGTGGAGGGTCAGCAAAAAAGAGGGAGACCCCCAGTGAGATGGATTGACAGTGGCAGCAGCAATAGGCTCAAGTAATGGCAACTGTGAGGATGGTGCAGGACCAGGCACTGTCCGTTTTGATATGCATAGAGTCCTATGAGTCGGAACCAACTCAACAGCACCTAATGGCGCGCGTGTGTGCGTGCATGGTGTGGTGTGTATGTCTGACTTGGGTGTGAAGGTTATGTTTGCTTCATGGTGTGAATTAGGGATTATTTCTTCCTTTCAAGAGTTTAAATAGTTGGCATCAATTCTTCTCTAAAATATTTGGTGGAATTCCCCCAGTGAAGCCATCTGGTCCAGGACCTTTATTGTTTTGTTTTGTTTTTTTTTTCTGGGAGATTTTTGATCACTCATTCAGTCTCTCTCTTTGTTGTGGTCTGTTAAGACTATTTCCTTTTGAGTTGGCTTGGGTGGGTTGTGTGCTTCTAAGAATTTGGTCATGTTATCTAGGTCTGATTCTTAATTAGGAAAGCAGGTCAGTCATTAAAGATATAAAGTTACCAATGAAACGAAAAAGAAGGCCCAATACTGTATAGGAGCCACTAACCCGTCCCTTCTTTCCCTTCTCTTCTACAGAACCTAAAAGCAGATCCAGAAGAGCTTTTCACAAAACTAGAGAAAATTGGAAAAGGCTCTTTTGGTGAGGTGTTCAAAGGCATAGACAATCGGACTCAGAAAGTGGTGGCCATAAAAATCATTGATCTGGAAGAAGCTGAAGATGAGATAGAGGACATTCAACAAGAAATCACAGTGCTGAGTCAGTGCGACAGTCCATACGTAACCAAATACTATGGATCCTACCTGAAGGTAAGGCTTAAAAAGGACGATTTTTCCATTGTGCGGCACTTGACTGGGACCGAAGCAGTTTATGTGAAGGATTGTGGGGGCACAGCAGGTTTTTAGAAGCAGGAGAAATGTTCTGACCTTTGCAATCAAAAGAACCTGGCTTTGGTAGTTTTCCTCATTCTAAAATGTCACCTATAGAAATACATTTTTGATGTGTTGATTTTTGTGTTTGATGTTAGAATACCCTTTTAAACAGGAAAGAGTATTTTCTAATGAGAATTAGTCATAAAAATAGACCTCATTAATTTATCACAGCAGTAACTATAAGTCATCTAAGGTAGGTTGACTTCTGATTGGTTATGAGGCGCTCTGGTGGTGCAGTAGTTACGTGGTTAAGTTCAAACCCACCAGCCACTCCACAGGAGAAAGAAGTAGCAGTCTGTGTCCGTAAAGATGACGGCCTTGGACAACCCATCCGGGCAGCTCTGCTCTGTCCTATGTGGTGTCACTATGACCTGGAATGGGCTAAATGGCAGTGGGTTTTGTTTTTTGGTATGATGAATAATAAAATCTCGTGCCACCCTAAGAATATTGGTCTTTTTGAGATTTTCAGTCATTTCTGTGGTTTAATTTATGAGATTTTCAGTCATTTCTGTGGTTTAATTTAGTGCTGTGCTTTAGAAATGCTGCTGAATGATGGTGATGTTCGTTAGTTAACTATCTGCCCACTTACTCACCTGGCATTCTTAAAAGTGTAATTACAGGATAGTTGGGTAAAGTGTATTTATGTAGCGCAACACTGTGAATTTGCCTTCATCTCCACCAAGCTGTCTAAACGGCAAAGATCAATACTAGAAATCGTTTTCCAGTCCTGCACAGAAGCATTTGATCATTTTAGATGGTATAGTTTTAAATATGAAAGATTAAGACTGTTTTGTGTTTTAAGCTCCTCAACACATGCTATTTCACTGAACTTAGAAGTGTGTTGTGTCTTTCAAAATGAAATTTTAAGAATTTTAAGAATTTGGTTTTAAAAGAATCTGAAATCTTAAGTAAACCAAAACTTGATATATATAAAATAAACTGTTTTCCGAGGTCCATGAGCAGTAATCCTGGGTGATATAAAAGACTGTAGGCCTACATTGCTGTCCTTGGTCTAGCCGGTAGCTTCTCTGTGTTGCAGTTGGTAACATGCTCTGATGTCAGAAAAGGGATATCACAGGTTTTGATTGGTGGGAATAATAAGGAAAAGTAAAAGGATGGAAATATTGAGAATCATTGAATTTATGAAATGAATAGAAAAAGGAAATCAAATTTTAATGGTAATTCTATTTTCAAGTACTCGCATTATTAGGTAAGAATGTCAGTAAGTAGGCTATTCTTAGAGGCCAGGTGATGTGTTTTGAAATGGAAAGATGTAGCTAGCTGTTGTTCTGCCTTGGTGTGTGGCCCTGAATAAGCTTTTGGCTTTTCTTTTTTAAATTCTCTGACCTTTAGCTTTCCTCATTTTTAAAGTGGAAATTAGTGATACATAACCCCATTGCTGTAAAGATGAAATGGAATTAAGTGTGTAGAAGGACCTGGCATTTAATAGCTACTTGATAAGTGTTCATTTTATTCCTTGATTGATTAAATCACACCACATCTCTGAAATTACCTTTACAAAGAAAAGGCATCTGTGGCAAGTGTTCAGCCCAGAATACCAGGTAGGACCCGAGAAAGGAGGAGGAAAGGTCTGTCTCTCTGTGGGCTCTAGCACTCTCATGCCCCTGGACGCAGACAGCGGTGAGGAAGCATCAGAAGTTGATGTCAAATTCTTCTATGAAAAAGCAAAAACCGTTTTCTCAAAAAGCAGAACACTAATGTTGGACTCTTCACAGTATCACTTCTGTCCTCTGAAGCCCAGCCTTGGAGTCCCTGTGGCATGCTGACATTTGTTTGCATTTGCATCAGGCAGCAAGGGTGGTGGTGGAGGGAGGGGGAAGTTGAGGATCAGGCCTAGATCTACCAAAGGCTAACCCAGGCTCACTGCCATCGAGGCCCTTCTGACTCACAGTGACCCTAGTGAACAGAGTAGGACCGCCCCATAATTATTCAAGGTTGTAAATATTTACAGAAGCAGACAGCCACATCTTTCTCTTAGAGAGCGGTTGGTGTGTTTGAACCACCAACCTTTTGTTTCGCAGCTTTAACCACTGCTCCAATGATTATTATCATGTATTATTTCTGTTCACATTCCCTTGGCCAGAATTCAGTCTCTGATGACACTCTACTCCGGGAGACTGGGAGCTGCCAGTCAGTTGTGCGCTGAATGGGGGGAGGAGAGAGATTTGGTGCCTAGCAAGCTGGTCTTTCTTAGTCACTTTACTGGACAAAGGAAATGGCATCATTCCATGAATTGATTTTCTCCACGGACTGCCTTCAGGTGGGATGCAACTTTTGATAATGATGTCCCAAGTGTTTTATTTTATTAGGCAGATTGTCCTTTAGAAAATACAGCTGCCACAAGAATGCCAGGAAGAGCATTACCATTGTGAAAAATTGCCCTTGATTTCTGGAATGATGTAAAAGACAATCCAGTCATTGTTGGCTAAAACTATAATAATTCTCTCATGTTAAACATTAACGATTACAAATTGGGCACAACAGGACTCTGTTTGCCCTCTCTTATGTAACGTTGTTGTTGTTAAGTACCGTGGAGTCGGTTCCGACTCATAGTGACCCTTCACAGAGTTTCCAAGGCTGTAAATCTTTACGGTAGCAGAAAACCTCATCTTTCTCCCGTGGAACTGCTGGTAGTTTCGAACTGCTGACCTTGAGGTTGGCAGCCCGATTTGTAACCACTACGCTACCAGAGTGACATAGTTTCATGAAATTCTGTGTCCCGAAGCAGACCCTCAGTGGAACCTCAGGGTATCCCTCCGTCATTTTGGTGGCCTTGTTGTTATGAGCCATCGAGTTGGTTCTAACTCAGAGCAACGCAGTACTACAGGGCCTTCCAAGGGTGGCTGGTGAGTTTGAACCGCCGACCTTGTGCAACCTTGCAGTCCAGTGCTCTATCCCACAGTGCCATACCCGGGCTCCTTGGTAGCCTTAAGAAGTTTAAATCATTGTAGCCCTAGCCTACTATAGCCAGCCTTGGAAGCCCCACGGGGAAGTTCTTCTCTGTCACATAGGGCCGCTGTGAATGGTAATTGACTTGATTGGTGGTGATGGGGGGGGGGGGTGCGGAGACAGAGCAGTTGTCAGTGAAGATACAGATTAAACTGACTTGTAAGACAAATGAGTCTTAGACACAACATTGAAAAGAAATGTGTTCTGTGTGTTGCTCCTTCCCCTTTGGAAGTTCTCTCATGATATACATAACTAATATTCTTAGTAATTGGTGTGGACAAGGCCTTGGAATCTCCCCCAGTGTTGAGGGACTTTCATGCAGCAGGAATGAACAGAAAGATTACTAGAATTGGTTTCTGAAGTGTTGGCTTAACCTTAGGTTTCGTAATTATGTTTTGGTTTTATTCATTGGGTCCAGAAAAACAGATGAAAACCATTAGTTACTCAAACCAAACCACTGCCATCGAGGTGATCCTGACTTATAGCTGCCCCATATAGGTCTTCCAAGGCTGTGAATGTTTACAGGAGCAGAAAGCTCCTTAAAAACAATAGCGGTTATTGTTGAGTGCCTCAAGTTGGTTCCGACTCATAGCTAGCCTGTATAGGGTTTCTGAGGAGCGGCTGGTAGGTTTGAACTGCTAACCTTGTTGTTCACAGTCCAGTGCTTTTATCCTACAGCACCATACCAGGAGCCCAAAACAGTAGGTCTGAATATTATGACTGTTACTGAGGAGCAGCAAAATACAGGTAATTTTGATTATATTATAAACAAAAACTTTTAAATGTCTTTGAGTCTGTATAGGGCTTCTGAGGAGTGGCTGGTAAGTTTGAACCACTGACCTGATGGCTCTAACTGACCTTGCAGTTGAACGCATTATCCTGCTGCACCCCAGAGGACTACCCAGACCACACTGTTAAGTGCTGTTGAGCTGGTTCCAACTCATAGCAACCCTGCAAAGGGTTTCTGAAGAGTGTCTGGTGAGCTTGAACTGCCAACCTTGCAGTTCATTAACCCGCAGCGCCACACCAGGACTCAAAAAAAAAAAAAAACAAACAAACCACTAGTTATTGTAAAAATTAATTCTGACTCATTGCAACCTTACGTGTGTCAGAGTTAGAATTGTATTCCATTGGGTTTTCAGTGATTGGTTTCTCAGACGTAGATTGCCAGACCTTTTTTCTGAGGTGCTTCTGAGTTCACTTGAACTAATAGCCTTTTGGTTGGCAGCTCCGGTTCTTAAATCACAGGAATAGCTTTTTATCATGTTGTTTTTCCACAGATAAAAAGCAACAATTTCCTGTGCTTACATTGATCAATCTGGAGTCTGGATATGCCTTGAACAATATTATTTTTCTTAAAACACTTCATTCGTTGTACTTCAGGTGTTGGATTTTGGGGAAATTAAACTTCAGATGCTGTGTACAAACCATTATATACCATTGGAGTTTCTGTCACAAAAATACCATCCAGGAGGACAAAATGAAACTGGATGTGGGAAGTTTTGGGGAGCGTGTAGGAGGAGAAAGAACTTTGGCTTCTTAGGCAGTAAAGACAGACAATATGATGAGAAAGAAGATGGTAAGATATAGTCTGGGGTCTCATGCCTTCACAAGTAGAAGTCATTCTCTCAGCAGCGTAGACCTCTTCATTTAGCTTTGTTATTTAGGGTTGGGATTATCATCCTCTCAGAGTCTTCGCTTTGAGAACTTCTAGCCCCTGTGATGGCGTAGTGGTTACCAGTTGGGCTATGAACCTTAATGTTAGCGGTTCTAAACTACTAGTGACGACTCCGCGGGAGAAATATGAGGCTTTCTGCTCCCTTGAAGATTTATAGCCTCGGAAATCCTGTACAAGGTTGCTATGGGTCGGAACCCACTCGACGGCACTTAACAAGAACAACAGGCCC